ATCTTCAACCACATCAGAATTTGGTTTCCCATCCTCGGCAACTGCAATAAGATTTTCAGGTAAAGTAATTCCTGCACGATACAAAGCCTGCCTAATACTCTCCCACTGCCTTCTCATGTTGTTAAATGATTCTTCAGCTTGCTTTCGTTTCTCTATCTCCATCAGTAGACTCAGCCTCATTTCACACAATTCAGCTTCAACATCATATCTAGAATTTTGTGTCCCACTTTCAGAAGATAGTTCTACAGGAGAGAAAAGAGCATGTAAACTAAAATATAACATGAAACATTTATATAAGAACTTTGTTACAAAAGTACAACAAATGCAATAAGATTGATATATCCATGGAAAAATCAAGACATTCCGTGCATTTAATGACATTGGGAGAAAAGAAAGTGGGAAAAACAAGCATGCCTATGATACATGCTCCATCACAACAGAAAAAATCAGCAATATATATAACTCAATTTACCTTCCCAAGCGTCATAAAACTCCACGCCAGGACTGCTAAATTTCATAGAAAGTTCTGTCCCTGCATTCTCTTCTCCTTCGGTGTTACTTGTGAAACTCATTGATTCTTGTGGATCAAAGAAGTCATCAATCTCTCCACCTCTTTCCAAATTAAATGATAGTACATTCTCCGTGTGTAAACCATTACTAATGCTACCATTTCCAGTTTCCTCGTGTCCATTCTCAAGTCCACCACCATTGCTGCTATTAAGTCCACCACCATACACACCATTCGTCTGTTCCTCTTTTTCAGGTTCAGGAATTGTAACACTGACCTTTCCATCACCAGCAGCAACCACATTATCTGAACTCTTACTACTGACCTTTCCATCATCAAGGGCAGTCTTCTCAGAGAGTTCACTTGGCTCAGAAGGACTCTTGAGAAGGCGTGGACCACGACGTTTGTGGTTGATGATGTATGGTGAAGGAGGGAACGATGACGATGAGGGCGAATCTGGAAGTGGTGTAACCTCAGGAGTGGTATAAAGTGCTGGTTTAAGTGGAGGACGAGCAGGAATCTTATTCTTCGCTGTTGGCACGCTAGTAGTCCTTTCTAACTTCCGTGAATTTGGGACAGGTATTGAAGTTGTAACAGATTTATCAACAGGTTTCGAAGCTCCAGGCTCTAACAACCTATCTAATGCTATGGCAGTGAAGGTCGGCATTGCTGTAACAAAAACCATAAATTGATACAAATATGAATATTACAAAACTTCAATAAAATTTCGAAACACCTTTTACTTACATATCCATATACCCTAATGCAGCAGTTACTGTTTCTGTTTTTCCAAACCACCAACATATGTATAGAAATTCACATCCAAACCAAGTAATGAATTTTTTTGAAAAATTCTCAAATAATTCGAATTTTATGGGTACGAAATTACAATTATTTTTTTCAGTCATTTTATGCCCTATTCCTCATTTCCTTCGACATATTAATTTGAAAGGAACCGTTAAGAAATAACAATAAATGAATAAAACAGAAACCGTGTCACAAAGGAAATGGAGGTGATAGCTAAAGAAGTGGAAGAAACAGAATAAAAATCATAAGCGGTAAGTTCTGTATTTGGAGCGGAACCTCTCTCAGAAAAACGATAACGAAGCTAGTATAAAAAATAAAGCTACAAGAAAATCATGAAATGAAAAAACCCAGAGAACGAGGAAGAAAATAAGGGGAAAAGAGTATTATTACCAAGCAGAAGGAAGACGAAACGACGTCGTAAAAGTGAAAGGGGAAAAAGCTAAGCGGTAAGGAGAATAGGGAAGAGACGAAAGAGCATGAACATGTTTGTTAATGTTGATGTTGTTGAATGTTTTAGAGCTGCGTTGCGTTTATTTAAAACTCGACATAACCCTTTTTCGAAGACTCTGTATCCCACATTTTCTTCTGTTTTTATTTATTTCTTGGTTGTTGTGTTATGTAATGACCGCCTCTCCCTCTTTTTTGATTTGAATGAACTTCTCAACATTATTCTTCTCTTTCTTTCTTTCTAGAATCTCTTGGTTGGTACTTTCATTCCCCAATTTGTTTGGTGCTTATGGGACCTTATTCCCTCTCTATTATTATTCTTGGTTCTTTCTGTGGGCCTCCACTCTATTCCAGCCCATTCATTTCTCACTGTGTTATCTCTAAAGTCGGTCACACCATTCCTCATACATATGCCACCTACCCATTTATCACCTATACAAATTTGACTTTTATATAAAAAGAGTCATAATTAAACTATTTAATAACTTTATTTAAGTATTAATACCCAAAGCAATCACACATTTTACTATAAATTAGTTCTATTCTCATAATAATATACAATAGTCAAATGGATTAATCTGTTTAAAAATACAAAAACAAATATTATAAAGGTTTATCTCAAATATACACCAAAATTTTGATATGATGTAGGTATGTATTCGATTCTTTTAAGTAACATTTGTTGGGAGGGAAAGTGATACAACCAAAAAAAATTAGTTTTTTATCTAAAAGATAAGAAAATATTATTGATGGTATAAAAAACTTATAAATAAAAAGGGTTGTTCATTTTTTAGAATGTTCCAATGAATATGAATAGTGATATATTGACAATTATTATTATTCTTTAATTTTTAAATATTATTTTTAGATATAGATAATAAAAAGTAATTTAATGTAAAAAACGTTGTTGTTAAATTTAATTCTTCATATTACATTACTCAGACAAAAGAGTGGATTGTGCTTTATATCACGAGGAAGACAGAAGAACAAAAGACTGCCACTTGTTTTTCTTGAACAAAGACATGTCGTGCTCTTCAAGAATTTGAATTTGTTAATGTCAGAAACCAAGCTTTTTAAAAAGTGGCATCACAACATTAAGGGAAATTGTAGTTGAACATGTCATCAAATACAGCACTTTTTTGTTTTTGTTTTTTTAAGATTTTGCAGTTTGTACCTACTATATTCCGGAACATATCTTCTACTTCAAGAAATATAAAATTAATATTTATTTAATTTAATTTTACTTTTTTTTAGCAATAATAAACAAGAGATATATTGAGTTGTATAAAGTTTGGGATGTGAGGGCATTATATTCAGTAAAAGAAACATGAGATAACAGTTTTGGTTTTATATTGTCTTCTCTCTCTGCCGCCATCTCGGTAGATGCGTCGAGTGTGAAATTCATTCACTAAATGGGATATATATATCAACATACAGAGAATAGAAGCTATATATATTAATAAGGATTCATCATGTTATTATTGATGGTGAGTGATGACATTATATAAGGAATTTGCAGCATCCAGCATGTGCATCTGCAGATTGGAGATTGGAGATTGGAGATATGATTTTGCATCAGCATCCAAAAATGTTATAGCCCAACACAAAGCATGACTATTACATGGTGCCTTATAGGCTTATAACTTATTATTAAAGATGAATAAATAACATAACCCTTTATGTTTTTTCGACAACTTCTTTTGGTATTCTGATATATGAGATTCAAACACTAAACCACATGAAATATTATTAACATTCAAATTCCAAACCTAAGAAAGATATATCATCACTTGTAATATATTACAGGCTTATTGGAATCCGATTCTCACGTGCCTCCTTCCTTCAAATAATAAAGATACCTTAAGAATTCAGGCTTAGCTGTTGTTTTCTTCTTGCTATGAAAATCTAAAGAGCCAAATAGTGGGTGAATCTTCTCTTTTTTATTATCATTGCCCTTCTTAGTATGGTTCCTTTGTAGTTTGATGCCCTCAAATGCTGAACCTTGTGCTGTAGAAGGTAAACTTGTGCTCCTCTTCAACTCCTCATTCCAGGGCCCATTGCCAGCAGATTCCTTCTCTAATTTCTCATACTTTGAAGAGCCTCTTCTAGTGCTTGTGGCTTTAAACATGATTGGTTCCTGTTTTGTGAAAGGAGAAAGGGTTAGTTGGGGATCGTGAGAATGAGATAACTTCTACCACCTACAGTAATAAACGCCTTTATATATTCATCAATGTGTCAGGTTTTGTTTGCTACCAGTAGTGTCTTCTGTTGCGTTTTGTATTTTAATGCTTGCTCTCATGTTCTCGATGATGCCGAAATAACAGTGTAATATTTATATCAAATGTTCCAGTAAAGAATTATACATAGTTCTTATATATATTTTTAATAATGATTAAAAATGAACGACCATGAATTTAATGTATAAAAATTCTTACACTGTCTATAAAATTTTTCTCACAAATTGCAATTTATCCGATCACAAAACCATGACATATGTAACGATATAAAACTTGATATTTCATCCCATTTACCCGAAGCTATACAGCTCTATGGTTTGAAAACAACATCAATGGACAAAATTTGTTGACTTTTTGTGCCGTGTCAACCATTCATTGTGTAATTTAATTTTTGGAAAATTGTTGATAAAGATCGCTAAGAAGGTCGCATCTCCTCTGCAGCACAATCATATTACATCTGTCCAAAAATGGATGGAATTACATATGAAAAGCTCTTTAAAGTGATACGATATAAAATTAAAAATAATATTAATCTAACATTTTTCTTACTTTTTCTTGGGGCACCAATCTGATTTCCCATTTCAAAGTTCCCCTAGATTCATGATTATTAATATTTATTGTTTGCCCATGAAAACACAGAAACATTCAAACAACTTGCCTTGGAGAGTACACAAGCACATAGTATAACTGAGAAAATAAAATAATTTTTCATGACTTGGCCATACCATTTTAAAGTGCTTATCTAAGTATGCACTATTGCACCTGTGCATAATTACAGAATATTTAAGACTTCTTTTTTCTAACAACAAGCATTTTTATTCAGAGGCAATTTTGTTAAAGTTGAAAACATATACAATAAGGTTAAATGGAAATTTTCTCCATATACACTTGACATACATTTTAAAAATATGGTTTAATTTAGAAATTTGTATTGAAACACAAAATATGGATAAACATTTAAGAAGAGTGTATCCCAATATATAATATAAATGTTAACCATGTAACGAGATTCCATTGTCGTCCAGCGGTTAGGATATCTGGCTTTCACCCAGGAGACCCGGGTTCGATTCCCGGCAATGGAATATTTTTTAACGTTTTCCTTTCCAAGAGCCACATTAAGCAAATATATTGTTTCAAAAACCCTGGTGCATTTTGATCCTGATTATTTTATTAATTGTTTCTTTGAGATGCAAACTCCATCAATTCTAAGAATGTTTATTTCTTACATGAAATGCTATTATGAGAAACCATCAAGGAGAAGATGACTAATTGTTACGTTGATTATCAATAAGTATTCATAATTACCTTAATTCACTATATACATCAGTGTAAGCCATAACTGAAGGACACCAACTCCTTAACAAGGACACAACATGTTAATGCTATTAAAGACTCATTTATCACTTAGTGCATCCTCAAAGCAGCAAACATTATTCCTGTTGTTTATCTAAAGATTCAATTATATCGCTTCATACCCTCAAAGCAGCATGATTAGTATCCCATAGGTACCAACTTCTAGAATTAAGAACAACTTCATATCTACTTTTCTATAGACATCACATAGTACACCAATATATCTACTATCCCTAAGTGTAGACCCACTCATTTCACTCTTTCATTTCAGTACACGAGATTACCACTTAGTAAGGTATGAGAATGGTAGATATATAGAGTCTTATCCTTACAAGCAAAGAAGTTGTTTCCAGGGTTTGAACTCATGATCATCATCTTCATTTCACTCTTTTACATATAAAAACTACAAAGTTAAAACAAGTAATTCTTATTCGTATCAAGTGCCACAAGTGACACAAATGTGAGACAAAACATGTTATCCAATAATACACAAGCTTCAGGTGTGTAAAGCTCACTTCTGCGTATTCTTTGAGAGCAAAAAGGTCCAACTCTCAGATATTGGCCGCTTGCTTATTAAGCTGTCTCTCATTCTATGCCACTATAACCCAAAAAATAAATGGCAATCAGTATTTGTCCACCAATAACAACAGAGACAATATTCATTCCACAGCAACATCGTCCAACACCATTCATTGACAGTGAGGTCTTGGGTGGAGAAAACATCTACGTAACGAAAACAAAACACCCTTATCCAACAACAGATGCATTTATAGTATGGTTGGGTGGCGTACCACATGATAAATTTGGGTTTCGAAGAGAAATTCTCAACAAGATGAAGTAACTACAGCAGAAATAGAAGATGCATTGCACACTAATGAACAAATAATACCGCAGACATGCTGATATTAAGAAAATAAATATCTCCATCCATGAAAGTGTACAGGCTTAACAAGTGTATCTGATTTGTTAATATTTCATTTTAGAATACGTGCCCAACTACAGTGCTGCAGAACTGTAGCTTGTAGGTATGCCCCTGGATCATGAAATCTTATCAAATTGTTACACTGTAGTTATTATCAGGAAATAAAAAGTAAAGGTTCTAATGGAGCACAGGATTTGGTAAAGCCGTAAAGGCATGTGTCATGATTTGCAGCAAGTTTTTTATATTTGAGATAACAGTATGAGCCCTCAAACTTATTGGAAACAGGCAGCCATTCTCCAGAAAATTGCACATAACATATTCAGGAAAGGATAGGAGGAAAAAAATTAAGCCTTTGGAACTTTGTCTAGCAAGACATTATCAGGAAGGTTAAGCTCTGATTGTGTTTCCCGAGCAATGCCCAGCGGTGAAAATTCCCCATCACGAGGAGCAAACTTCCTGCGGAGAACTTTCTCAAATTCAGTTTCATCAAGTTTTTTCGCATTTTCAGCAGCATGAGCCTGAGCCAAATTGGAATAGTTTATGGCAGATTGTGAGAAGAAGGCCATTTCATTTTCTGTGAGCTTCCTCAAGAACCTTGCTGGATTGCCTCCCCAAACCTGCAATTAAGAGCAGTAATTCGGCTTAAATCAAAGATACACAGAATAATCCCGGGCATAATGAAACCTAGCTGAAATCCTTTTGAATTTTTTATTTCAGGCATGATTGAATGCATTATGTCATCTTCCATTGGTGAACCAGGTCGTAGGAAATCATTAGATCTTAAACTTTATTTAATTTGAAGAGAGAGCAGAAAAGAGCACATTCTCATTTCTCCGCTAAGGAAAAGAAAAGACTCATACAAACCTCTCCATAGGGGATTCTAGTATTCTGCCTGACAAGAGCTCCAGCAGCAACCATGGCATGTTTCTCAACATATACACCATCAAGCAAGGTCGCACCCATGCCAATAAATGCCTCATCCTCAATAGTACATCCTTGTAACACGGCACTATGACCTAAGTTTCAAAATACAGTGCCAAAACATTAGAACAGTAAATCCTGGTAACATGGCACTATGACCTAAAATTCAAAATACAGTGCCAAAACATTAGATAAAGGTCACACTAAAAGCATGCTTCAGTCATTCACAACGTGATCAATCACAAATCACTTTCACTTACCTACGGTGACATTATCTCCGACAATAGTTGGCAAGACCTTTCCACTCAAATTAGTCTTGGCAACTTGAACAAGAGAATTGTCTTGTATATTAGTTCCGGATCCAATGCTAATGCTCCTAACATCACCTTCACAGAAAGAACAAAATCTAGTTAAAAGGAGAAATGGTAGCTGAAGCAAACATATAGGGAGGGGAGGGGAAATATTAATACTCAACCCCATAACATAAGGAGTACAGGACATGCATATAAATGGTTATGTGTGAATGTGTAGCAATAAGATAGGTAAAACAGTTGTCCTTAACATTCCATGAAAAAGTGTTGAAGCAAGAAGTGAAGGAAATATGAAAGAAAAATGTGGTCCTTCAAGTGTTACCTGATGAATGCAGGGGAAGGAAATATATGGAAAGCAATGAATTTCAAACTTCATCAATTAAGATAAGTATGTCAAGAAATGAATGCATACCACAGTTAAAACCTTATTGAAGTGAAAAAAACATTGTAGGAAGCCTAACTAATGGGTTTAACATTCTTGTCAAACAGACGTTGATAATGTGTTGGTGTGGGTATGTCTGTTAACTCCATAAATAAGATACCAGCTGCTAGATGTATAAGAACAGGACGAAAGACAGCATATGGATTATGCTCTATATTTGCTGTACTTCATAAATAGAAGAGAACACGACACAAGATTAAACAGTACAGAGCAGTGTGGAACATTTTGGTTCCATTGAAAGGGGTAGAAGTGTAGAACAAACAAAAAACATCTTTTCCAGGTTGTTCTAAACACTACATATACTATGTTTGAATGGACAGAATAGAAGTGGGATGCAATGGAATGGAAGGGGACAACATTGTTTGGGAGTTCTGTTAGAAAAAATAGTTACCCAAAAGCCCCAAATTATTTCCCTCAAATTGGGGTGCAACCAATAGAATGGGAATGTGATTCCCCTTCTGTTCCATTCCCTCCCTTTCCGAATGGAATATAATGGAATGATAAGGAAGCAGATATCCCATTGTTTGGATGTTTCCATCCCATTGGTTTCACCTGAATTTGGGGTGATATTCCACGGCTTTTGGGTGGAATGAAATGAAAAGGTTATAATTTTTGTTGGAAAAACATCAAAAACAATGGAATCTCATTCTATTCTACTATATCCCTATACGCAAACAAACATAATTGGGATGGAAGGTTTCGATTTTCAGTCCTTAGTGTTTTGGTAAAGGTGAGCAAATGGGCAGAAAATCATTCCAGGCTCGTATTTAACCAAACAAGTGAGAGGCCAAAAATTACAGTCAAAGTGAGTGTCTTTGGTTCCATTTTCAGTTAAAAATAACATTTTTGTTCTACCAAACAAGTGAAAAATAAATTTTCATTTCAGAACAATTGCCTTCCCATTATTCACTACCCACTACCCTAAAATCTCAGATTGAAGTAGAGTATGTCTAATACAAGAAATGATTGAAGTTAAGGGAATAGTTAGTATACCTCGGAGAACACAACCATACCATATGGAGGAAGATTGGGCAATGTGAACATCACCGATAATGGAAGCGCTAGGTGCCACAAACGCATCTTTGTGAACGTAAGGACCTTTGTCAAATAAATTCATGAGAGGACGATGCCTGGAAACTGAAATGAAAACATAGAAAACCCTAATTAAATTGGGAGTAATAGATGAAAATGGAAAAGGAAAAGAATGAGAGAGAGAGAGAGAGAGTAAAGTACGTTGTTCCTGGAAGAAGTAGTTTCCTTGAAGACGAGAACCGAAGCGATCGATGGCTTGACCGGTCTCACGGATCCAGAATCCGACGGTGTAGAATGCTCGACCCAAAGTTCCCATATCTTTCAATCTGATTGATCACAATCTTCTATAAGCCTCTCTTCTTCTTGTCTTGCCGCTATGTCTCAATCTTCTACCTTTTCTCTGCTTCCACTCCCCTCTCTACAATCACACACCTAATTTTTATCTTTTATTCACCTATTCAAAATAATAATATCATATAAATATTAAATAAAATAACATTCATACTTCTACCATCTTTCATCTTTGTTATAATTCGATCAATTTTTTCTCTCTTTTCGTTTGTCTTATTTAAGAAGATATAACCTTGAATGAGTTGAGACACCACTTCTTAGTGACTAAAATTTGTATTATTCATCACATCCTTGTCAAAAAAAACAGAAGTTACATATATATACACATTTATTTTTTATACCTAGGACAAAAAAGACAATATAGTTCTTCAAAATTAAATGTGTCATACATTAACTCATTTAATTCAATTTATCAATGATTTTACTAGTATTAAGTTGTGACACAATCACACTCATTTTAGAGACTAATAGTATGCTAAAATTTTAAGCAAGAAATGACTCAGACTCCATGATTTTTTCTAGGCCAATTTGGATGTTTATTAACTAAATAATAAAATGATCCCATTTTATTAAGATTTTGATAACAAGCTCTTGTTGATGTAATTACACATTTACACTTATATTTTTCTATCATCTTTACTACAAATATTTTTTTTTGTTATAGATTACACTAATATTTTCTTTAATAGTTGAGAAAAGTATAATATCATCTAACTCATTTTTCTAGGAATAGTTTAAAAGACATGTTGATCTAATTCTCTA